TACTGGCAATGTTCATGCAATATTGAATCACCTATTTTCGACATGACCCAAGACCTGTGTCATCGCGCAGTCACACAGGCAAACCGAGCAGAAGGTTCTTGGTTCCGCGGGCTGATCCCAGCTGAGTGGACCAGAGTAGATAAGCCGACACAAGAGGAGAAATGGAAAGGCGCGGGACACGACCAGGCCGGTACTTTCTCTTTCGGCGAGGGCTCCATTGCCCAACCCTGGGTGATTTATGGAGACGCTTCGGGAGGTGCTGGCACTCACGACCCACGACTTCGTCGAGTTGGGTTGGCTGCCGCAGCATGTATTCCTGGATCTAATGACGACTCCCCGCGCGCGTTCGGCCCTCTGCCTGGCGACCGCCAGACGGTTGCACGCGGGGGGTCATGCATGCTGGAAGTTGCAATTCGTTGGTCCACTGGGCCGATGGTGTACATCGCCGACAACGAAGGTTTGCAGAGGTGGTGGGCTCGAGCCTACGACCACCCCGCGGACCCCAATGCAGACACATGGCGTGCTGTCAAGAAGCACCTTCACGTTCGAGCCTGCTCGGAGATCGTCGTCCTCAAAGTACCGTGGTCGAGGGGCGGCAGGTGGTCGAGATGCAGGTGCCTCCATGGACGGTTGAAGGAGATACTTTCGTCGACGTACTTGCGGGTGCTGCAGCTCGCGAGGCCCTAGTTCCACAACATCAGCGAGCTCGAAAACTACAGGTAGAGGCGGACGCTCGATTGGTCCGTCTCAGGCTTCTGCGGGTCTGCCTCCAGACAGCCCTCTTTGGGGGGCAAGAGGGAAAAGGTCTTCCGAGGCCCATGCCTTGCCGCCTCCCCCCCGTCCTCGTGCTCAAGCTCTGATGTGTTCTACGCGTGGCGTTGACAGCAGTGGGGAGAAATGTCTGGTCTGTCGGGGCTCTTCCTCGGATGCCAACTTAAAGTGTTGGCTCGGGACCCCGTGTTCTCCGCTTTCTTTTCTCTCCGATAAGGTTTCTGCCTTGCCCAGGGGTCGGGGTTTGAATGTCGCAGGGGGCGTGGTCCACAGTTCCCTTAATATGAGATATCACGAATCCCAAGGAGTGTGGTTCTGTGGCAGATGCGGGCCCATCGGTTCGGCTCTTCTCAGCAAGAAGCTGGCTGGGGCCTGCCTTCCACCCGCCTCCACAGGCAAGGAGTACCTCCGTCGTTTAGAGATGGACCTACCGCCCAAGGCGCTCAGCAAGGCTGAGCAGGCGGCCAGGGCGTAATTTATATCGACTCGCTTCGAGACCGCTCTCATCTCCCCCCCCCCTCCTCCCCCCCTCCCCGTCCCCCCCCTCCTTTCTCGAAGAGGGCCCCCCCCCCCGTGCCCGCGGGGGTGTCTTGCTCGCGCGCCCTCGCTCGCACAGGCGCGCTTTTCTCCCTCGCCGCGGCCGCGCGCTCAGGCAGAAGTGGGCCACGCGAAGAGCAAGGTCTTACCAACACACGCGCGCGCACACACAGGCACTCCTTTCCTCCGACGCGTCGACGAGGTCCGGGCAACGCTGGAAAGTCGGCGAGCAACGCGCAGACGGAGTGGCAAAAGTTTAGGATCCCAGCGCGAGTTCAGCATAGCCGACCACACCACCCGTCTGCGTGCGAATGCTGTCCCAGCCGCTTGTTGCGACGCCTTATCTGCTGCTGCGGGTTGTCGTCATCGTCGTCATCACCATCATCGTCATCATTATTGTCACCACCACCATCATCGTAATCGTCGTCGTCATCATTATCATCGCCATCACCACCATCACCATCACTATCCTCACCGCCGTCATCATCATCATCATCATCATCATCATCATCATCATCACCATCATCATAATCATCATCACAACCATCATCATTTCTCCATCATTATCGTCAACATCATCATCGTCATCGTCTCCGTCACCGTCACCGTCGTCGTCATCATAATCTTAATCATCACCATCATCATCAACATCATCATCGCCGTCGTCCTCATCATCATCATCATCATCATCATCATCATCATCATCATCATCATCATCGTCATCGTCATCGTCATCACCATCACCATCACCATCACCATCAGCATCATCCTCGTCCTCGTCCTCGTCCTCATCATCGTCCTCGTCCTCGTCCTCCCCTCTTCGCACTCATCCCCATGCTGCTCAACTTCCACGTCTTGCTCCTCCCCCTCGTCATCGTCCACGTCCCCCTCGTCATCGGGTTCCCCCCTTCTCCCCTCCCTCCCATCCTCGTCCTCTTCATCCACTTCCCTTCGTCGTCGTCGTCCCTCCCCCTCCTCCTCCTCTTCCTCCTCCTCCTCCTTCTCCTCATCATCAGCATCAGCATCAGCATCAGCAGCATCAGCATCAGCATCAGCATCAGCATCATCAGCATCAGCATCAGCATCAGCATCAGCATCAGCATCATCATCATCATCATCATCATCATCATCATCAGCATCATCATCATCATCATCATCATCATCATCATCATCATCATCATCATCATCATCCTGCCACATGTTCTTCATCCCCCTCTGGCTCCCCCTCTCCTCTTCCTCCTCCTCCTGCTCCTTCTGCCCCTCCTCCTCCTCCTCCTCCTCCTCCTCCTCGTCCGCGTTCCAATCCTCGTTTTCCAGATCCTCCGTCTCTTCCTGCTCCTCCCGTGCTCCCCCTCTGCATCCGACTCCCCTTCCTGCTCTTCCCTCCTCCTCGTCCTCCATCCCTCATCATCGTCCTCCTCCGCTTCCCTCGGCGTACCGCTTCACACACCCCAGCTCAACCGTTCCGCGGCCTCACTATCATGTCTCCCATATCTTCGTCTTCCTCCCGCACCTCCCCACCTCCACCTGTGCAAACCCACCTCGTTTCGTGCGTTTGAGGACGTAGATAGGTTTGGCTTCGAATATCGATTTAAGTAGAGCAGTATTTGGGCAATGTGCAAGGGCAGGCTGCGCAGCAGAGAGTACTGTGGGTTTTGTGGATCAAGCTTGGAAAAGCGTCTTGCTATCGGTCTTACTGCCGCAGTTGGTAGCGGAACTTCGTGGTGAGGCTTCGGGCCAGAGTGCCTGACATGGAGCGCTCCTGAGGGCGTTGTGTGCTTGGCTCGCGAACCCGAAGCAAGTGCGGGCTTTCCCTACGCTGTGAGCGGTTTATCTGCGGCAGTGGCGGGCAATGAAAAGCCCCCCGATGGCAGCAAGGACGACGACAGCAAGAAGGATGCCGAGCCAGCTCAGGCGGTCTTCCCGCGAGAGTCGGGCGCAGGCGGTCAAGGATCCTCTTCGGGAGCCGCCCAGGGCAGCGGCTTGTCGCCGGCACCCACGTTTCCACCATAGCAAGGAGAGGGAGGAGGAGGAGGAGGAGGAGGAGGAGGAGGAGGAGGAGGAGGAGGAGGAGAAGGAGGAGAAGGAGGAGGACGTGGAGGAGGAGGATGAGGAGGAACAGGAGAACGAGTAGGAGGAGGAGGAGGAGGAGGAGGAGGAGGAGGAGGAAGAGGCATCCGGGGGTTCAGAGCGATGCTGGAGCAAGTAGTCGCTGCGACTACGGCAACTAGAATCGCCGGAGCTGTGGAGGAATGAGTGCCATACGACCCGAACGATCCGTGGGCGAAGGCCGCCCGCGCCGGGCTGCTCACCCCGAAGGCCGGGATCGCGCCGGCCGACATCTCCGAGTGGTAGGAGGCCTCGCACGGCGAGGATTGGCGAAGGGACTCGCACGACTGGAGCGACACAACTACGGCTGGAAGAAGGACGACCAGTCCGAGCGCGAGTGGGAGTGGGAAGTGATCGGCTGGAAGACGGGCCCCGGCTGGTGGAGTAACAGCAGTGCTGCTCGCGGAGAGTCTTCGGATCCTTCAGAGTGGCCCGGATGGACACACCACCGACAGTGACGTCGGACTACGAGACGCTGGGACGTCAACGCCAAAGTGGCAGTAGATCGTAGGACCGAGAAGATGTTCAAGGGGTTCGACTGGGCGATGCAGGCTCGTTTCGAAGACGTTCCCGAATAGACGCCGGCTAGACAAGGATGGCTCGACGCCGTAAATACGGACCCGAATGGACCGATTGATCGGCGAACTTGAAAGAGGTGAGGTACGGGGGCTCGGCAGACGAGCGGCGCATGAAGCGAGTCGTGATTGCAAGGAGACGCTGGTTCAATATATGTCACGACGGGGGTCTCCGTGCCCTGAGACCTTATGCCACGACCTTTGGACGAGTGATCGTTTCATGGGTGCATTGTTTGAGGAAGGCGCGGGCTGCCTGCTTAGGGACTGCAGAACCAACGCGCGCTGACGCGTGGCAGTTTAGACTTTGCCCAGGTCTCGCGGGCGCTGACTGAAGCAGATGGACTCTCTACCGGCTCCGAGCGCTTCCTCCCATACCGCGCAGGCAGTCGCACCTCCATGCGTGCCATGTCAGAGAAGCGGCCCTTTGCGTTCGATCCTGGGACCGAGGAGGCCAGAGAGGCTTTCGCGGGGGAACAGAGCAAGGACGACGACGAGCATGATGGCCACGACTCTTCTCTTTCTTCCGAGGCCGAGGCAGCCTTGCCAGCTGAGATTGATGAGTTGGACCTTAGTGAGGGCCAAGTGGGAACCTTCTGCGCAGGCCGAGAAGCTGCCAATAAGTGGACATGGAAGGGGAACGAGGATCTCAAGCGGGCTGCCCGCCAGGGCCGCCAGTTCTTCGGTGAGAGGGACGACAGCAGAGCACCTCCGCCCCCTGTCCGTCGCCGGGCAGAACGTCCTCGTCGAGGCCCGGGGCGGCGACCCCCGCGAGATCGAGACGGGCGACGTCGTCTCGTCGCGATGATCCTCGGAGGCCTCGAGCAGACCTCTCGGCGAAGGTGATGACGCGCAGCTACCGCCACAAGGCGGGGCGCACGGCAGAGAAGCGTTTCAGGAGGCAGCGCGAGGAGGGCGCCGCAGCCATGGCGATTCGGACCAGGGCGGGCTGCACCTTGTCGGGGCGCACGCCGGCCAAGGTGGCTGGCCCGCAGCTGGAGGCGCTCCAAGATCGGGGCCGAGAGCACGATGGCGCTCCTCGCCGCCGGCCCGGCTGGGGTACTGGTGGGCCCAGGCGCGGGGAACGACCTGATCGGGCTGAGGTCGCCGAACCTGACCGCCCGCCCCCTGGCCGATCAGGGCCCCGCCTGCGCGGCGGCGCCAGGGGCGCAGCCCCGCCCGGCGCAGGGCGCTGCGCGGGGGCGCCCAGTCGATCGCCGCCATCTCGTTCCCGCGGGGCCTCGGCGGCGTTTTCCGGGTCGCGGGGGCCACCGTGCTCCTCGGACGTTCCGCGCGCCCCGTCGGCGGGGCTGCTGGGCTAGGCCTGAGGCGCGCCATCGACCCGCCCGAGAATGCGATGGCGAGCGGGCTTCTTGGCGCGGCCATCAAGCTGCTCAGGCCCCCTCCCGGCCACGGGCTGGCCACCGCGGTTGGGCCCGTGGGCGGAAGGCCCGCCGCGTCGGCCTCGGCCCTCGATCGACGCCCGTTTCTGTCGAAGGATTCCGTCCGTTTCTGTTCCCCAGGCGTTGTCCAGACGCAGGGGGCTGGAGACGTTCGGACAGCTCAGACAGTTCAAACGACCACCCAGTACATCATCATCTGGTTTCTCACCAGCATCACCAGGCCCCTCGGTCGGGACTTCCACGGTTCTCCCCGGGGGCACCGGGCGCGGGTGACACGGGCGCTCGCGGGGGTAGCAGATGCGGGGTCGAGGAGTTTAGCGGGGCCGAGGAGGCCGGGCTCAAGGCGCGTGAGTTCGAGGAGCGGCGGGGCCACCGGGGCCATCGACCTGGGCCGCGACGCGGCCGTGGCTTTCCTCGGGCGCCTCTTCCGACCGTTCGATGGCGGCCTCATGCATCGCCACCAAGCCAACGCCGATCGAGCGATCGCCGACAAGCTATAGGCGACCGACAGATGAGTCCGCGGGCTAGGAATCTCTGCTGGCCAGGAGCCCAGTCCTCAGTTGCCGTCACGTGCTCAGCCGTTGCCTCGAATCTTCCAGAGCACTCCTCAGCGGGTTCGGGCATCGCAAGCCCGAGCCGCCAGCGAAGCCGCCCCCGAAGCCGGCGCGACGGGCGGCCGCTCGCGAGGTCCGACTTGCCCCCGCCAGACGGCGAAGCGATGCGGGAACCAGCGCGGACGCGGGGCGCCCCCAGACCCCCGACGTCGTGATTTTTCCGCAACGTCGACCTCCACAGGTCTGGACCCTTCCCCTGGGGCCGGCCTTCATCCGGAGTCGTTTTCTGACGGTCCCGAGGGTCCCGGGAAGGGCCCCCAGGGGCCGAAAATAGCGAGAAAAAAACCGTCGTGATCCGTAAGGGCTTCGCCCCCTGCCGCCGGCCCCCTCCCTCGGAGAATGGGCCATGGAAGAGCTAAGTCATGAGGTCTTGGCGCTGTCGTGAAGCAGTATCGAAACTTCATGCGAAGCCGATTCGCAATCAGCAAAACCAACTGATCACAAGAGGGGTTACCACACCTGGCGATTGGTAAGGACGCTTATGGTTTACGGGCTTGGTTCCCCACCTTGCGATTAAAGGGCCGAGGCAGTTCTCGCAGTTCGGGTTACCACGCCTTGCGATGGATGTGCGTGAGGGGTGGCACAGAATTTCAGAAATGTGGCAAATCCTCTGTGTTTTTGGACCCTGACCCCGCGGATCTGCGTGAGGGGTGGCGCCGAATTTCAGAAATGTGGCAAATCCCCTGTGTTTTTTGACCCTGACCCCGCGGATCTGCGTGAGGGGTGGCACCGAATTTCAGAAATGTGGCAAATCCCTTATGTTTTTGGACCCTGACC